TCTTACCTCTAATAGGGCTCAATAAGTTATAAAAGTTCTTATAAAAGCTCTTTACTGGCGGAAGGGCAGAGTACCGAATATTGTGAGACTAGTTAATGCCCGAGCCATGCTCGGATTTTTTCAATATATACATGGTTGGATTAATTTTATGCATAACATGAAAAGTAAAATTTGTATAATGGTCAATAAATGGAAATATCAATGTGTAACTTACCTTTTATTTATTTATTTTTAAATTCGATCAAATTGGAAATAGAATTATATACGTTGAAAAAAAAATAATTCTATCTTATTTTTTTATCTTGATAAATTTTTTTTTATTTTTGTATGAAAAAAATGACAACAAAAAAAATGCTTTTAAATGAAAATTTTTTAATAGGGTGTTGCCACGTGTAACTTAAGAGTTATTTTGATGATTACTTCAATTAAAAAAAAAAAACCAAATTTATAGACCTCCAAAGTCCAAACATTCATTTGCCAATGAATTGTTATAGAAAAAGATCAGTTGCAACATTTCTTCATCCCCAAATTCAATTCTCTGTAATATCGCTATATAAGCGTGCATTTAAGACATTCTTAGACCAACATAATACCTCAGACCATAAATTCAACGATACAGATTTACCATCATGGCTTTCTTATCACCCAAACCCAGAAATTTCTCAATTTTATACCAAAGGTTTCTCAAATATTACCAATCAATCCATTGGGAAGGCTTTGCATTGCATTTGCTTCAAGGGTTTGATCCCTTTCAGCATATTTCATTCAAATACTTTGATTGGTTGTATTCGAGATTTGGGTGTATTGATGCTGCCCACCACGTGTTCGATAAAATGCCGCAAAGAAATGAGCCTTCTTGGAATACTTTGATTTCTGGGTTTGTAAGAGTTGGTTTGTATGTGAAGGCTTTTAAGTTATTTTGTGAAATGAGAAGTTTTTCTGACTTTGCTTCGAATGGGTTTGTGATATCGAGTTTGATCGCTGGTTGTAGTAGATCAAATAGTATGATTTCTCAAGCATTTCAATTACATGGTTTTGTTGTTAAGTCAGGATTATTGGATGATGTCTTTGTTGTTACTTCTATGCTGCATTTTTACGGTACTAATGGGTTTTTGATGGAAGCTAAGATTCTTTATCAGGGCATGCCATATAAGAGTGTCGTTACTCGAACTGCGCTGATGGTTGTGTATTCTGATAGGTGCAACCTCAGGAAGTTATTGATATGTATCAACAGATGAGGCAAGAGGGGGTAGGCTTCAATGAGAATACATTTACTGTGTTGATCAGTTCTTGTGGGATGCTTCAGTATCCAATTTTGGGTCTGCAAATTCTTGGACATGTTATAAAGTTTGGGTTCGAGTCAAATCTGTCGGTTGCTAATTCTCTCATATCAATGTTTGATAGCTTTGGATATTTGGATGAGGCATCATATGTGTTTGATTTGATGAAGCAACGTGATACAATCTCTTGGAATTCAATAATTACAGCATATGGTCATCACAAGCTTTGTGAAGAATCCTAGGATACTTCAGGCAGATGCGTTTCGTTCATGATGAGGTGAACTCGGTTACACTTTCCAGCTTGTTATTGGCTTCTGATAATGTTGATTTCGTAAAATGGGGCAGGGGTATTCATGGTCTTGTAGTCAAATATGGATTTCATACAGATGTTTGTGTGTGCAATACTCTTCTTACCATGTACTCTGGAGCTGGACAACTTGATGATGCCGAGTTGATATTTACTACAATGCCAGAGAAAGATTTAATCTCATGGAATTCAATGATAACATGTTATGCCCAAAATGGAAAATCCATGGATGCCTTTCGATTTTTGAGTAGGCTTTTGAAGGCAAGGGCATCAATAAACCAAGTCAGTATTGCTAGTGTGTTAGGAGCATGTACCAGCCAAGAGTTCCTTCCTGAAGGCATTATTGTCCATGCTATTGCTGTCAGTTCTGGCCTTGCCAATAATTTGATTGTCGGCAATTTGTTGGTTACCATGTATGCAAATTTTGGTTTGACAATTAAAGCTCAAAAAGTTTCTGAGACGATGCCTGATCAAGACACTGTCACATGGAATGCTTTGATTGGAGGATATGCTGAAAATGAAGAAGCTGATGAAGCATTTATGTCCTATAAGTTGATGAGAAGAAGAGGCTTGCAAGAAAATTACATAACCATAGTGAATGTTCTTTCTTCGTTTTCTTCTTCCAGTAGTCTGTTGATGTGTGGAATGTCTGTTCATGCACATATTGTTTGTAAAGGTTTTGAATCAGACGAGTATGTGAAGAATTCTCTTCTTACTATGTATGCCAAATGTGGTGATCTTGACTCAAGCAGTGTATCATTCAATATATCCAGGGACATAACTCTTGTCACTTACAATGCCATAGTTTCTGCTAATGCACGTCATGGCCGGGGAGAAGATGCATTGAAACTGTTCAAAAATATGTACAATCTGGGATAGATTTGGATCAATTTACCTTTTCCAGTGCTTTTGCTGCTGCAGCCAACTTGGCAATTCTGGAAGAGGGTAAAATGCTCCACGGACTGACTGTTAAAATTGGGTTGGACATAGATTTGCATGTAATAAATGCTGCAATGGATATGTATGGGAAATGCGGGGAATTGGATGATGTCTTGAATATACTTCCAGAACCAGTTAACAGGTCAAGGTTATCATGGAACATTCTAATTTCAACTTACTCAAGGCATGGGCTTTTTCAACAAGCAAGAGACACTTTTCATGAAATGCTTGATGCAGGGATAAGACCTGATTATGTAACTTTTGTCTGCCTTCTAAGTGCGTGTAGTCATGGGGGCCTTATTGATGAAGGTCTTGAATATTACTATTCCATGACAAGGGATTTTGGAATTCCACCCGGAATTGAGCATTGTGTATGTGTGGTTGATTTGCTTGGGCGATCAGGAAAATTCGCCGAGGCTGAGAAATTTCTGATTGAAATGCCAGTATCTCCCAATGGATTTGTTTGGCGGAGCTTATTGGCTTCTTGTAGAGTTCATGGTAATGTCGAACTTGGTAAAAAAGCTGCACAGCAGCTTATTCAAATGGGACCTGATGATGACTCTGTATATGTTTTGTATTCAAACGTATGTGCATCAAGTGGGAACTGGGAGACTGTGGAGAGTATCAGAAATCAAATGCAATTGGGTAATGTAAAGAAAAAGCCTGCATGTAGCTGGGGCAAGTTGAAGAACAAGGTCAGCTCTTTTGGAATGGGAGACAAAACCCACTCTCAGACAAAGCTAATAGATGCAAAGCTCAAAGAAGTCAAGAAGCTGATTTCTGAAGCAGGTTATGTCCCTGATACAAGCTTTGCTTTGCATGATACGGATGAAGAGCAGAAGGAACACAATTTATGGAACCACAGTGAGAGACTTGCTCTTGCTTACGGGTTAATTAACTCCCCAGAAGGCTCAATCATCAGAGTATTCAAAAACCTTCGTGTCTGGTGATTGCCACTCTGTTTTTAAGTTTGTTAGTGCAGCAGTTGGCAGGGAAATTCTATTGAAGGATCCCTACCGGTTTCATCACTTCAAAGGTGGCAAGTGTTCATGTGGGGATTTTTGGTAGCCGGGATGCCATTGTATAGCTTCATAGTAGTGAAGTACACACACACACAAACAATTTTAACTCCTCTAACTCCTCTTACCTGTACTTATTAGTGAAGTACAAACACACAAACAATTTTAACTCCTCTTTTCCTGTACTTCTTAGTGAAGTGTGCGATGAACTGGTGTTAGGGGAGAGGGGCAATTTATGGAGTAGATTAAAGGAGAACTTAGTTAGTTTGTTAGGGAAATTCTCTGTAAATAGACATAATTAGAGAGATAATCATGTTGAATATTGTTGAATGTGTTGGGATTTCCCCGCTTTTAAAAGGCTAAATGGGGAGAGATTCTACCTCTCAAAAGTAGAATTATCATCTTCTTCCTATGTTCTTCCATTTATGATGCCCAAGCTATGATAATACATAGCAGTCTTTTAAATGTACTCATCAGTGTTAACAGTTGGTAAGAGTATAATGTCTCAGTTTTCTTGTCTTTGATATCTGGTCTTCTGCTTACCCTATTAATAGGTCTATTTACAGCTATTTTGATTGTTTGTAAATGCAGGCCTATCAGATCAATCAGAAGCATGGTATTTGAGCACAGGCATATTGTTGTCCAGATCAAGTACAGTTGTATAAGATCTTCTGTACTGTTCTTCTCCAACTTTCTGCTATATTTTACTTAACGGGTTTTTATGTTGTCGCCATGCAAATTCTATGCTACCTGCTGTGCCAGTTGATTCTCATAAACTTTAGGAGCAGCCTACGGGTTTCAACATCTCTTCAGTGCATCCATTTAGTTCGGTTCCTTACAGTTTCAATACACCTTGTCTCCATGTCAATATTAGGATTTAGGAACTACAGCTTCTGCTGTTTCAAGGGTTGAAATGCTTAAGGGCTTTGTCTATGCGACATTGCGACCATGCATAGAAACTGAAGGATTAGGCCTAATCTTTAACCTATCTTTCATTTGTTAAGTGGAATGTATTTTTCAGATAAATAGGATACTAGAAGCAAGAATTTGCCTGAAGTACTACCATTATTCCAACTGTATTATTAATTTTCAGATAATAAACAGGTTACTATTATTTATTTTACTTTTATCTTAATATTGTTGCTCCTATTATTCCAACTGTATTTTTTTGCAATGTATGTTTAAATGGCTACCGTACTGTTTGCAATGTATGTTTAAATGGCTGCCGTGGTGTAGAAGAGATTGTACTGGTGATAGTAGATAGTTGAGGTTGTATTATTTTACACGGTTGGTATTATTTTAAGCCAAATTTTTTTATTTATATATTAAACTAAACTTTATTTTATTTTTTTGCTGATTTATATTTATTTATTTATTTATTTATTTGACAAATGTTAAAGAAAGAAAAATGAGTACAAAAGTCTTCTCCCCGCCAAATAAACATTCCAACTCTCATACCATCTTTTAATTTATAGTCTCCCTCACTAGTCATTACAGCCATTCGCAAATCGCAAGCATAAATTATCATCACCAAAATTATTGTTCATCATCTTCGTCGTCAACTCTTATACTTGAGGTATTGTCATTTCAATCTGTGTTCAATTCTACTGCGATTATCATCGGAATCGGCGAGGTTGAACTTGCTATCATTTAATTGCGTTTGATGATCAACTGACGCCGGAATATTTTCGATTCAGGAACTTTGAATTGGCTGTGCAATTATTAAAATGGACATCGGTTCGCCGTCATCAACTCTCTCTCCTCGTCATCGTATCATTCAGGTCTTCTTCTCTTTGTCTTTGTCTTTTTATTTTTGTATTTTGGGTAGAGAGATAGTCGCAAAGGATAAATGATGTAGACGGGATTTGATCTTAGGTTTTCCGAGATTTTAATTAACTAAGATATTTAACATCCCTTGATTAACCTTTCAATTTCTATGAGTAACAAATTAACAATTAGTAACAATTATATCTGTAAATTTTGTAACAAATTCAAAATCTTTGTTTTTTGGATTTTGATTAGTAGGTTTTTTGGGTATGCAAGTGTTGCTGAATAAACTTAATCAAAGTAGATTGTCATAATTTGTCAACGATTGCAAAGTTTGATTTTATGGCTGGTATTAAAGCAAAAAGTGTTTATTTTAAACAATTTGTGGTAATTATTAGAATGTCTACACAAATTATGGTGGTTTTTGTTCACACTACAGTACTACACCCTAATTATATACTTCCTCCGTTTTTATTTAGTTGCAACACACCCCTTGGCACGCATGTTAAGGAAGGTATTAGACTAGGTTAACGGATAAATTAATTTACAAAATTTTAACACCTATAAGAACTTAAGAAGAACGGGATAAGTTGCTACTGTTTAAAATTCATAGCTTAATTCATTCGTTTACCTAGTTTAATCACCTCATCGATAAGCGTGATAAAAAGTGTGTTGCAAGTATAAAAAAACTGAGGAAGTATGACCCTAATAATGTAGTCGACATCATGGTTATGCAGGCATTACATGCGTCATAGATAGTGTCGTGGGAGTAAGCTTATGGCGGGTTAGACGCTCACCTTGCAATGGATTCTTATGGATTCTTAACACTTCATTTTTAATAACAACAACAATAAAGCCTTAGTCCCAAAATGATTTAGGGTTGACTAACATGAATCATCATAAGAAATAGTTTGAAAAAAGGTGAGTAAAGTAAGTAAAGAAAGAGCATTTAAGAAAAATTAAGGGAATTTTAAAAGGGAATCAAGAATTAAATTCAAGAAAGTTTTAAAAGAGTGGTTAAAATGTTCAAGTTAAAACATAAAGGTTTGAGAAAACTTAAGCAAAGAAAAACAATACTATTCATAAAGCATTGGTGCGCTAAAAATAAAATTTACAACAAAAATAAATTTTAAAGTATATATGTAATCACGATGCGTCGTTCACGTGAATTTTCTCCCTCCACACCACCCTATCCAACATCATATTTTCTTCAATCCCCAAAGCACTCATGTCGCCTTGCAATTTGGCACTTCATTTTCAGCAAAAAAAAAAATGCTATAATTTCATATTACACTCAAGCTTGAGACATGTAGTCATGTCCTGCATGAGTAGTCAAGCCTGAGTAGAACTAGATGCCAAAGCTCAAATGAGCAACTTAGAAGTGGATGGGGGCTTGGAGACATTAGGGAGGCATTGTAAGTTGTGGGTTATAAATTATGTTCTTATGTTAAATGATATTTATAGAGCCATGAAGCTTGAATATAAAAAGTGATATCATAGGTATGGGAATTCTTATTAGAAGTCTATGCAATATTTTCAGTTATGCTATCAACAATGATGTTCGGAAATCCTTCATAAATGATTTCCATTATCAGTTGAATAAATATGAGTTGTGCATTTTAGTGGAGAGTTGTTTTTAAGAAGTTTTATCAATGAAGATCCTTTTAATATTAAGTAATCTTTATTGTATGTGTACAATTGTCTTTCATACACGTGTTGGAAATATTTAGGCCTCTTTATAGGCTGTAGATTTGAAGTATATGATTGTATACACATCTGCTTGTATCATTGTCTAAAATGATTTACATTCTGTATTGGGTAGAATTCGCATGGTTGCATCAAAAACAGATAAGAAAATGTTTCCTTAAAATGCTATATTTAAAAGCAGAAAACAATAACCTGGATGCGTGGGATTTTGGGATCTATGGAGAAACCAAGGAAACATGCACAGTGTGCCAAGGATTTTGTGCATGTCTTCTGTGGCATGTGCATGTCTATGTGTATGCATATTGCTTTGACAGTGATTCTCTCTCTCAAAAAAAAAAAAAAGTCAAAACAAGAACATTTAGAAACGGAGGGAGTAGTATATTTTATGTTGAATGATGACATGCACACAATGGCCCACACACAATTGACAACCGCTTATGTAGTATGTACGTACAATTATCTTGGCATTATATTTTGCTAAATGGTGATTGTCTTCTTTGGCAGGGACTATCCATGATTGGTGTTCCCGAGGAGTACCTAAGAGATCTCCAGCCTGGTTTGGTGTGCTTTATTAAAAACAACAAACCCTTGTTGTCTGAAATAGTCTCAGCCATTATACCTACAGACCTAGGCACTGCAGGGAATGCAGGGGTTGTTTGTGAAAGGAAATTTGGGTCTAAGAAAGCATTGGACCATCTGAACTTGAAAGATCTCTATCGTGAAAGTATGTGTTGGTTAAAGTGGTTGATGTTTGAGCGCGAACCAAATATCGCTTTGAATAACCTGGCTAGTTTAAATGTTGGTCAGCGTGGTGTGTGTGGTGTTATTTGGAGGGAAAATGATTTAGCATTTCGCTGTAATACCTGTGGACATGACCCAGCTTGTGCAATATGTCTTCCTTGTTTCCAGAAAGGAAATCACGAGAATCATGACTTTTTTACCACAACTCCTGGTGCGGGATGCTGTGATTGTGGCGATGAGTCTGCCTGGAAACGAGAGGGCTTTTGTTCAGAGCACAAAGGCGCAGAACAAATACAGCCTCTTCCAGATGAGATAGCCTGTTCAGTGGAACCAGTATTGGATCTGCTTCTCAAGTTCTGGAAAGACAACATGTTAAGAAGAGAGTCAACCAATAAACATGGTACTGAGCTGCGAAAAGTTGTTAATGAGCTTTCCTACAGTGTGGTGGAGATGCTTCTGGACTTCTGCAATCACAGTGAAAGTTTGCTGAGTTTTGTTTCTAAGAGGTTGATTCACACAGTTGATTTACTGAAATTGTTGGTAAGATCTGAGAGGTTCTTAAGTCCTGATGTCACAAAGAAGTTGCATGAGTTGCTACTGAAGCTTCTGTGTGAACCTATATTTAAGCATGATTTTGCGGAAGTATTCACAGCGTATTACCCTGTTACTGTTTCTGAGCTTCTTAAGACATCTAGCTATGATTTTCATAATTCTCTAGTGATGAAGTTTTCTGTGCACATTTTTACTGTGCCAACACTGGCCCCACATCTTGTAAAGGAGCGTAATCTCTTGGTTGTGCTGTTAAGATGTCTGGGGAAGATTCTCTTTTCTTGTTGCGGAAATGATGGCCGTATTCAGGTAATATTATTTATTTATTTTTAATTATTATTAGTTCTGTTTATTTGTTGTGAGCTTGTATTTACGCTTATGTAATATGAGCCTTGGTTATAAAGTGTAATGTAATGGACTTGCTCACAATATCATGTATTACTTAGGTTTGATCTCTGATGTATTGTGGGATGGCACATTGGGACTATGGGAGGGGGGTTAAGTGATGATATGTTTTGAGAGCTATGTCTTTCTATTTAAAGCAAGATCACAAGTGCTTTTGTGAGAGTTGTTGTGGTAACTTATGTCATTTTGTTTCTCAATTTTCTATAGTGTTTCTGTACAAAGGCGAGGGCAAGTATGCTGATGATTTATGTGATACTCTCTCTGTTTTAATATAAGTGCTACACTTCGTCTAGCATGGAATTTAGGTGGCTGAGTTAAATTTGTTAAAATATTGTGTGAGTGGGGTTTGTGTGGAAATTATAAATTACGGAGAGTGGTTTCATATTTTATTCTATAGGTAAAGATGTGAGAGGAAATAATATAAGAAGAAATGTGAGTGTGGACCATGGGAGGAAAGGTATTATTCACTTCACTTGAAATTTCACTTATCTTATTTTATAGCCCTAAACTTCTCTTTTTTGAACTTATTAGCCCTTATCTTATTTCAACTTATTAGCCATTTTCTTATCTGATCTTATGTTACCTTATATTATTTGACCTTTTTTTTTTTTTAATATTCGAACCTTGTTGACTTTATTGGACCTTATTATAAGGTCTTGTTAGACTCTATTGGAACTTATTAACCCTATCTTATCTTTTGTGAACTTATCAACCCTTGTTTAATCTTATATGAATGCGCCCTTATATGAACTTATTGTATCTTAAATAATAAGTTGAGGAGAGTAGAGCCTAATGGAGGATTTGCTCTTTAAAAATAATGGCCGTTTTTGGAAATTGTTGCTCTTAAATGACGAAGGGATTAGAGTATTTGATATGACTTTGTTATCTATATATTCCATTTTTTTTCAAATGATTCTTTCCTGATATCAGGCTCGTACTCTAGATTTAATTTGTTTCATTTTTCTTATCATCTTCGAAGAATGTTACCAATTTTTATTTAAATAAATTACTATTGGTAGGGAATTCCATATCTTATGCCTTAATATGCTGTTTGGAAATTATTATGCAGTTTAGCATGTGGCCAGGTGTACACAATCTATGTATCCGTGTCATGACAGACATTAATCATGTTCTAAGCCATTCTGATCTACTAAAGTATGTGACTCATGAACGATTCGACACTGTCAAAGATTGGTTGCAAATTATGTCTTTAGTGCAAGGCATGAATCCTCAACAACGAGAAAGAACCAACTTTAGAGAAGATGTAAATGCTGAGCTACCTTTTAACATGTGCAGTTATATTGCCAAAATTCATTTTCTTTTAGTAAAGGGTAGTTTCTCTGGTTCTGACCATGGTAGTGAAGAGATGGATGAGGCTTCTTCTGAGAGAGTGAAAAAAGACACTGATGACGGATATAGTAAAAAACTAGCTGAAGTTGGAAGGCTTTCTGGTGAAGCTTCATCACAGAAGTTGGACGCAAATCAAGATTTTGAAGTTTTGCCTTCTGTCTTACAGTTGGCTTTTGAGACAACAAAGGCTATAGACTGTTGGTTGGCAGAGAGTAATCTTGTTTCTCATGTCACTAGCGACATTTCATATTGCATATCCGCATTCAAGGAGGCCTCATTTAATGTCAAAAAGGGGGTGTACACTTCAGGCTCATCTGATGTCTCCTCAGGGAGTACACTTCAGACACTGACACATGACTGCCCAGTTAATACTGGGGATGTGGATAAGGATGTGAATTTCTTGGAATCAGAAACATCTGTTGATAAAGATGCCTTGTCTTTGTTGAGTTTATCTGTTTGGCCAGATATTGACTACGATATAAGCTCACAGGGGATATCATTACATATGCCCTTTCATGGATTGCTGTCTTTAATTTTGAAGCAGGCTCTTAGGCACTATTATGGAGACTTTGTACTGACAAATAAGGATGACTTCACATATCTGAATCCTTTATCCGACCACCTTGATTTTTTTCAAAAAGTACTTAGAGGCTGCCATCCATACGGATTTTCTTCATTCATGATGGAGCATCCTCTTCAAAGCAGGGTATTTTGTTCCCAGGTTCGTGCTGGGATGTGGCGGAAAAAATGGCGATTCTGCTATATTAATGTATCATCGATATCACTCTATTCGCTGGTATGTAGAAATAGTTTGTAAATCTGAATATGTCTATCCATTTATTTATCGCTATGCATCAATCTATAAATTGTGCTTGTTTGCAAGTACAACGGGATGTGGCTGTGATTGTATGCATATGGGTGCATATCAAGGTATTGTTCATTAATGCCACTTGCTCATTTAGTTTTTAAACTTTTTTCTTTTTTGCAGGTCTAATCAAGAGTCGGAGCTTGATCTATTTTTGCTGCAGCTATGTGCTGCTTTTGCTCCAGCTGACCTATATGTAACAAGAATCTTAGAACGTTTTCAATTGTCCAATTACCTTGCTTTGGATCTCAAGCATGTTAGTGAGTATGTCATCTCTTTGAACTTCATAGCTAACACTTGTTGATTTATTTCCTGAAGCTCTCCTTATGAAATGTCAATGAACTTGCCTTTGTCTTCTAATTCTATTTTGATTTTTTATTTTTGTGCTGAACTTGGGCTTTATGGCTTAGTAATGATGCTTATTGTCTCCTTTTCTATCAAATTGGTTTACTTGTTACTGCCATATCTGCAGGTATGAATCTGTTTTAATGCAAGAAATGCTCACTCTAATAATACAGATAGTCAAAGAGAGGCAATTGTGTGGACTAACAACATCTCAGAGTCTGCAAAGAGAACTGATCTGCAAGCTTGCAGCAGGTGATGCTACACATAGTGAGCTTGTCAAGGGTCTACCTAAGGAACTATGTAAACTGGATCTGCTACAGGAGGTCTTAGATAAAATTGCTTCATACTCCAGTCCATCAGGATTAAATCAGGTTTTCCTTTTATCTTCCTGTTCTTTTCTCCTTTCTTTTCCATTCTGTGTCTGGAGCATTCATGCATTCTGTCTCATAATTTCTGTACTTCAGGGGAAGTACTCTCTACGAATGCCATATTGGAAAGAACTGGATCTGTATCATCCATATTGGAAACCGAGAGACTTGCAGGTTGCTGAAGAAAGATACTCTCGATTTTGTGGGGTTTCTGCCCTGAGTACTCAATTGCCAAAGTGGACAAACGTCTATCATCCATTAATTGGAATAGCTAGAGTAGCTACTTGCAAGACTACCCTCCAGGTTATTCGGGCTGTCCTCTATTATGCTGTCTTTACGGATAGATCAGCAAAATCCTCTGTCGTTAAAGAAAACAGATCAGCAGAATCACGTGCTCCCGATGGGGTACTTATAACTGCGCTGCACTTGCTTTCGCTAGCTTTAGATATTTGCTCTTTACAGAAAAAATCTGGCCATATATCTACTCATGATGGGGATTGCTTTCCGTTGCTGTTTGTTGCAACAGAGGAAATTGAAGTGGGGTTGCATGATGAATCTGGTTGCCCGAGCTTACTATTACTTCTGGTCATGTTGATGAGGATGCACAGGAAAGATAACATGGTCAGCTCAACGGAAGCAGGGAACTTCAATATTTCTTCCTTTGTAGAAATTCTTCTGAAAAAGTTTGCTGAATTAGACTCAAAATGCATGGTGAAACTGCAGCAGTTTGCTCCTGAAATTGTTAATTACAGAACTGATGATATAGTGGATTTAAGTTCAGCTTCCGATACAAAGAAGCGGAAGATGAAAGCCAGGGAAAGACAAGCTGCCATTTTGGTAAGACACCGAGGCTATACTACGCATAAAAAACCTGATTACTGACATTAAGGCTTGAAAGAGTGCAGGAGGACAGAAGTCAGCTAGTCAATGATAGGATTTGTACCTCAATTGAATAGTTAAATATTTTATTTATGTTTTCATTTAATACAATTTTCTATAAGCTGCCCTTGGATGTGGCTATATAACTTTTAAGAATGGGCACTTGTGATGAACTGAGCTCGGTCACCCAGCAAAATCAATGTAACAGCAAGAATTTCTGATTTTAACTAGCAAATTAATAATGATGAAAGCTTAAGATTGATTGATAATGGTGAAAGGGTTACAAAGATAGGTTAATAGCTTAAGGCTATCAATCTTCAAAAGTGAGTTTAGCTCACAACTCTCCACAATGGCTTTAGGCCATAACTCTCCCTAGGTTTCCTTAATCAATTTTTGTCTACCACTTCCTTTCCCCCTCTCCTATTTATACTAAAGCTAAGACTATTAACCTAATGATACTAAACTTCCCAAAGTGCCCCTCCTAAAGCTAGTCTATTACAGCACTTTCTTGACATATTTGGCTTTAGTGTTGTGATAATTGTTTATGATATGATTTTTTTCTTGCATTGTACAGGCAAAAATGAAAGTTGAGCAATCTAAATTTCTAGCAAACTTGACGGGTTCAGCTGATACTGAGTCTGATCATTCTGGCTTTGGGAATGTGAAACATGCTTCTAATGTACTGCAAGAGACACAAGTTTGTTGTCTTTGCCATGATTCCAATTCTGCAAACCCAGTATCTTTCCTTATTTTACTTCAGGTATGCCAATTTCATTCTTCGTTCCTAGTTTTAGCGTAATACGCGTATTTTTTTCTCCATTTTATTGCCCTTTCTTTTTCGGGAATTTTTTTTCCTTCCATTTTTAAGATAGGCGAAGGCATTAAGGCAAAGAAAAGAATGGATGAAAAGCCCTGCATGAATTATCTTTCTCTTTTGGCTTCTTGCCAATTTGGGGTGGTGTTGGCCTAGTGGGATTGGTTTAGCTTTTTTTGAAATTTCCTTTTGTCTGAAATGGAAAATAGAGAGTTGCCCGCTTTGACTTCTCAAAGAGTCAAAGTATTATGGCCAGCCTGCACGTCAATTATACAACAATGCTTGGGCATATCAAGAGTGGTTTTTTTTCCTCCTGTGGGATGGGATAATTTAAACAGAATACATCCTTCTGAAGATATTGATATCAAACTCTTTCTAGTGGGACTCTCTTGTTTTTACAGAAGCTCCATTTCTAATGTAACCTCAAAGAATACATCTTATTAGAAATTTTTATCCTATCAACAATGCATTCTATTGGATTATCAGCTCTTTAAAACTAATTCTTGATCCTGCCAGGAAATATTGTATTTGCGGTTGTAGGCTGTAGTTTTGGATGGAACATTCTATATGACGGTTATTACAACATAATTCTTTTATGGGTTGGAATGTGAGGCATTTAGGAAGGATTAAGTTTAGAAGATGGGTGTAGCATGATTATGCTTGACGAGATGGATGTTGTGATATCATCATAGAATTTGTAATTAGGATATTCAGTAAGGTTGGAGCTGTATGTATTAAGGATAAAATAAGGGAGTACCAATTACATTGGATTGGGCATGCACAACAGAGGCCAGTAGATGCTCCAGAAAGGAAATAAGAGATGTCAATCAATCAAACAAAGCCTTAATCCCATATTTGGAGTCGGCTACATGAACCAAATTTGATTATTAAGTGTAATCATTGACAAAGATCCTCCTCCTTCATCCCTTACGATCCAATGCCTCATCCTCATGCAAATTCATATACTTCATATGCTTCCTAACTCCAAGTTCCAACCAAGTCATTTTCAATCTCCCTCTCCCTCGTTTAACCCCTCTATGATCCCACTCTTCGTACCGATGCACCCTCAGGTTTCCGTCTTGCATGCCCAAACCAACGCAGACGATTTTCCCTTGGTTTGTCTGCAATGCCTGCCACACCTACCTTCTTGCAAATAACCTCATTTCTGATTCTATCTCTTATAGTGTTTCCGTACATCCACCTTAACATCCGCATTTCCGTAACCTCCATCTTTTTAACGTGATCCTTCTTAGAAGCCCAACATTCAGTACTATAGAGCAACACTGGTTTTATGGTAGTCCTGTAGAATTTTCCCTTCAACTATAAGGGAATGCTTCGGTCACATAAAACCCCCATGGCCGCTCTCCACTTAAGCCACCCCGACTTAATCCTGTGGGCCATGTCTTGATCAGATTTTAGAAGAAGCCAAGGGAGGCCGAAGATGACATGGAGGGATTTGAAAACAATATGAATTATATTGGATTTGCAAAAGCATTTAATACTAGATAATAGCCAGTAAGGTAGAAAAGATAAATCTGTGGGTGACCAAAAGAAATTAATTCTTGATCCTTGCAGCCGACCCCATCCTTTTAGAATTAAGGCTTTGTGATTGTTATTGCAGCTTGAACCTTGTCATTTCTGAATATATAGGTCAGTTCATCCCCTATGACCCGATTTAGTTTACCTATCTGGTCCACATTTTGTGCTTTAAGAGGCGGAATCACAAACCAACAAAATACCAATAACTGCATTTTGCTGTGTGATTCTAAATCTTTTTTCTAGCTCTAGAGGAGGAATTCTAAATTATCTTTATGCCACTTAATTTTAAACACTAAAGAGTCCTTATAAGGAGCATCCTTAGAAACCCACTGGTTTCAAAGCTTTCTAGCATCTCTCAATAGACCAGCTTTTTTATCAGCTTTATCAATTCGCTTTCAAATCCAAGAATGGAGTTTTTTTTTTTTTTTTTTTTATATATATATATTCATTTATTAAGTTTTGCTACTGTGGTAACTATTATTAAGACAACCACATCAAGGTTGTTTTGTTGGCTAATAGATATTGTCTACAGTAATCTTCTGAATATTGCTTATAACACTAATTTATTTATTGTTCTTATTCGTTTTGAAAAATAAACAGAAATCTAGGATTGTAAACTTTGTTGACAGAGGTTATTCTGCATGGGACCAAGGCTGGCATTCTGATGGGTTGGAGAGCTCTGTAAAAGCATGTATGGAAAAGGATCCTCTTGCTAGTAGTGGTTCTAATGCTATCTCTGTGGAGAGTTTACCATCATCTGAGTTGTTGCCATTAGTTGAAGGTGCAATAGATGAGTTTGCTGCACAGGCTCACCCTGAAGAACTTAATAATTTTGTAGTTTTTTGTAAGTCTAAGTTTCCCGAGCTTCAAAAAACAAAAAATCCTGGAAAACTTGCTGAGATGAGGAATAAGACTGCATGCTCCCTTGAGTCTTTAGAGCAAGATCTGTTTTTATCTATTTACAAAGAGATTAGTTGTAATGACAACTCTGGTTTTACGAGCGATGGTGAAAGAATCTCTACTGCAGAAGATACTACAAAATCATCAAACCAGGTCTCTCTGTTGCTTGGAAAATACATAGCTGCTCTCACCAAACAGTATAAGGATACTTCACAAAACAACAACATATTTCCTTCTTATGATGGGTTTGGCCCCTTAAATTGTGATGGGATTCATATTTCCTCTTGTGGCCATGCAGTTCATCAGGGATGTCTTGATCGTTATTTGTCATCAAATGAAAGGTGAGTTTTGCTAGGTGATTCAATTTACTGTGACTTCTACTCTGGGTGCCAGATATTTGACAAAATTCTACTTTGGTACCATTGGTTTTGGTATTCTCACTTTGGGTACCTTAGATAAACAAAAGATAGTAATTTAGTAATAATTAGTGTTCATTAAGATTAGTTTCACTCAGTAAAAAATCAGCTTAGCTAATAAAAATGACTTTAGCTGAATAAATATGAGGTGAAGATAATAAAGCTTATCAAGGACTAACTGGAGAAAAAAAAAAGTGCACAATAGTTCACTTGCTTTAGCTGTTTCAGATTTTTTTTTTTTTTTTTCTTTAAACGTGTTTTAATAAAGATTTTTTGATGAAATAATTCTGATTCTCTTGTGTTTTGATTGTTTTTGAGTTCATATATACTACGTTATCATTTATCAGAAATATAAACTACATTGGGGTGAGTTGTCTGGATAAAAAAAAAAAACCATTTTGTAAACCTTAGGTGTCCACAGTGAGAAAACCCAGGTGCCCATAGTTGTATTTTGCCAAACCCTGGGCACCTATGAACTTTCTTTTCCCTTTTTCTTTGAAAACTCTTTTTCCTCTTTTTATCTGTTTATTTTCCTTGGTTTCATTTCACTTATTACTGCTGAAGTTATGCAAAAGTTGTTTGCTGTGGACTTTGCTTCTTCAATTGTTGGAAACTTGGAATTCTGAATGTAGAACGAATCATAAACAATGATGTGTGCAAGCACAACAGAACGATGGCACTAATCTTACGGGTGTGTATTATTATTGTACTTATGCATGCATTCAGAATGGGCTGGCAGTAAAGCTGGTGACATGGGACATTCTCTTAAAATTCAGTAGTATGAGAATACTAATCTTACCAGAGTTACCACACTTGATAAAATTGATACAAATATATATGTTCAAGATGTAAAATCAATTTATCAATATATAGACTTCATTCTCTTCACCTTTAATAAACTTGTTCATGGAGAATAAATTTCATACTAGTGAAAATGATCAAATAAGGCCTAGCTAAGTTCACAACTACAAAAGGTTCTGATAAGTTCACAAGCTCATAGTCAAATTGAGATCAACAGAAAGTAATGTTATTGTGAGGAGAAAACGGGACACAGCAGGCCCAATTAGTGCTTTCAGTATAGTGGTGGCTATCAGCAATTGACCAATTGTGATTTGTAATGGAATGAATGGGTTGAACCATCGTTCTTTCTAAGCTATACTTCCTCTGTTTTTGTATACATGCAACACACCTTTTATCACGCTTTTCAAGAAGCTGATTAAACTAGGTAAACGAATGAATTAAGCTATGAATTTTAAACCGTAGCAACTTATCCCTTTCTTCTTATTTATAGGTGGTAAAATTTTGTAAATTAATTTATCCTTTTACGTAGTTTAATATCTTCCTTAAAATGTGTGCCAAAGGGGTGTGCTGCAACTAAATAAAAACGGAGGAAGTATAATTTTGGTTATCATGCAGGCGATGACAGATTCAACTTAGCGTGCTAGTTTGAAGGAGTAAAAAAAATGAAAAATTAACATAAACAGCTGCCCTACCTGTACATTTAAGTTAAATACTAATGCCTCTTCGTAGTTCACCTTTTTTTTATTTATTTCAAATGTCCTTTTCATTGCACAATCAAGTGTAATTCTTGAAAATCAGTTGATGAGAGTATGGTATTCTGTTTGGTAATAGCTTTCTTGTCTTGTTATATCTGGTCTTACTCTAGAAGGCGTTCACAGCTATTTTGATGATATAAATTGCAGACTTATCAGCAGACGAATGGTATCTGAAGGCAGACTTATTGATGATTTGGATCAAGTACAGTTCTATAAGATCCTTACTGCTTTTTCTCTCCAAATTTTTGTTATCTTTCACTTATTACTTCTTTACAGGGCAAGTTTCTCTGTCCTGTATGTCGCCGCCTTGCAGATTCTACACTACCTGTTGTACCAGATGATTCTCATAATGTTTGGGAGCAGCCTACAAATTTCAATATCCCTTCAATGCATTCTCTTGGCTCTTTGACTGCATCAAAGCAGGAGTGTGGTTCATTGCGGCTTCAATATGCCTTGTCTATGTTACAAACTGCAGCTTCTACTGTTTCGAGAAGTGATATGCTGAAGGCTTTACCTATGCAGAGAAATACAAGTATCAGCCCTAATCTTGAACCTGTCTTCCAATTGCTAACTGGAATGAGTTTTCCAGGGAAACAAGACGTTTTCTTAAGATCGGGGAGAGCGAGCCCTTCTGTTCTTATGTGGGCCACTCTCAAGCATTCACTTGTATCAACAGAAATTGCATCTCGTTGTGAAAAGAGCTCTCTAAGTGCAAGAAAAGGCCTTAGCTCTTTGGATGATGAATATAGGTCATCTTGTGGGTTTATACTGCCAATGCTGTTAAAAGTCATCCAAAGCACTAGAAGCACACACTTGCCTGATTTGCTTGTAAGGTTTAGAGGCCTTCAACTCTTTTCAGCATCCATTTGCTCTGGCATTAACAACGATAAGTGCCCAGAGGGAGCAATCAGTGGAGAAGGTAAGAGAATTTATTTATTTTTTTAAAAAAAAATTTAGATGTTTATATCCTTTATTAGTATATCCATCACGAAACTGTGTTTTTGACTGAGTGCAATTCCCTTGTCTTTGGGAAAATCTTTTTGATGTCTATGTATATTCCCTCTATATTATTCTTATGTATCCATCTTGAAACAGTGTTTGTAATTGACTGAATTGCTCCTCTTATTGAAAAGAATTAGTGGTGGACGGATGAGAAAATTGTAGTCTAATGCTTTCATGTTAAGTAAGCTTTGTAGTTAAATCTAAGTTAGGCCAAATCAGAAAATAACACCTGTTAAAAGACCGTATTTTGATTTTAACACCTTAACATTTCAAAGTTTTATTATAACACCTACTAAAAAATTAAAATTTTGGTTTTACCACCAGAAAACGGATTCCGTGACGGAAATTTTGCATGGGCCCCACAAATTAGCTTACCCTCCAAATTTCTTCCTATTCATTTCGACTATCACCCAAAATAGGAAAATGGTAGAAAAATTATGAAAAGTGGTCCACCTAAATTATGTATTAATGCTAACTGCCCAAAAAACTGTCTCAATAAATGATTAAATTTAACTCAAATTTAATACTCAAACAACAACAAACAACCCCTCAAAAAATAAACTTGTTCATCATCTCTCTCACTTTCTCTCTCCTCTGCTTGTTCAACGCTCTTTTACAGAGCTGTAGAAATTTGCTCTAAACCAGCTTTATATACTGTTATTTTTCTGGGTTTTTGTTTTCTATTAGCAAAATCGATCGAAAATTCTTCAATTGCAGCAGATCATGCCATGGTAAAACAGTAAATTACCCATTTTGATTCGTGGATTTGGGTTCGCGTGGGTGAGCTAGGTGAGTCGAGAGTTTTGGTTTCGCGGTGTGATGAGTTTGTGTTCGTGGTGGTGGGTTCGTGGTTCTGGGTTCGTGGTGGTGGGTTCTGGATTTGAAGGGTGGGTGTTTCTAGGTGGCGTCGGTGGTGGTGCTAGGTCGTTCTGTTTAACTTTGGTGGTTTTGTGGGTTGGTGGGTGGTGAATCGTGGGTTAGGTGGGTGGTTCGTGGGTGGTGGGTCGTGGATTTAGGTTCGCGTGGGTGAGCTAGGTGAGTCGGGGGTTTTGGTTTCGTGGTGTGATGAGTTCGTGGTTCGTGGTGGTGGGTTCGTGGTGGTGGGTTCTGGATTTGAAGGGTGGGTGTTTCTAGGTGGCGTCGGTGGTGGTGTTGTCGCCGGCGAAGCAAGCAGGTCGCCGACGATCTGGGGATATTGATTACGATTGATTAATCACTGGATTGTGAAATTGATTTTCTAAAATCATAGAAAGCACAAATAAAAGTTAAAAACATCTTACCTCAGAATGTTCAATGGAGGAGAGAGGTCGAAAGCTGATTCAATGGAGGATTCAGAATGCGCTTCAATGGAGGAGAGAGAAATGGAGGGGGAGGGGGGGTGGGGGGAGAGAAGGGGGGTGCAGTCTGTGGAGTGACTCAGTGAAGCAATTTGGGAATGTGGGTGATAGTCGAAATGAATAGGAAGAAATTTGGAGGGTAAGCTAATTTGTGGGGCCCATGCAAAATTTCCGTCACGGAATCCGTTTTCTGGTGGTGAAACCAAAATTTTAATTTTTTAGTAGGTGTTATAATAAAACTTTGAAATGTTAAGGTGTTAAAATCAAAATACGGTCTTTTAACAGGTGTTATTTTCTAATTTGGCCTCTAAGTTATTTTCTTGCAGATATTGAGGTCTCCTAGTTTGAGTTTTATGTCTGTCTTTGCAGTTTTCGCTGCTTTTTGCAGATTTCTTTAACTTTTGCATTTTAGTTCTATTGAGTATTGACGATCTTCAAAAAAAGTTGATTAATATAGTGTATACCTCTACTTTTCCTTGTAAAAGCTGTTTTTTTCCCTTCGGGTGGGAAAATTGGGTTGTGTACAAGTGTATAACATATTATTTAATTTTTGTAATGTGACAATTCACTTGCTTCAGGAAAAAAATGTGTGAATAAATGCTTGGATATATGATTAACTTCCCCATCTATATCTTTTATAGTAATGTATTGCACTTCAACATTCTTTGAGAATCTCCACATACACGCCGTATAATATAATGTTTATTCTATGATGGTGTAGTATGCTCTTCATTTAATAAAGTATATTTGGCTAATTGATGCGTTTATTTTTGGGAGGCACAGTACATGAACAGTACTCATTTACTCAATATGATCAATGGTGCCAATTTATATATATATATATATATATATATATATATATATATATATATATATATATATATATATATGTTGCTAAATTTTAATTTTAGTTTGATAGCAATTCTGTATAAATCTGTAACTTTCGTCATTTTCTCTCATATTGGCTCTTAAATTTGCTGAGCTTATTTCATAAACGTGTTGCATCTGATTAGTTTAACATTTCAGGAAAATTTTTGTGGATATTAAAACATGCAAATGGGGAGATGGCATATCCTGATATGCAATTTTGGGATCAAGCTTCACACCCTGTTCTTATCCATGATCCTTTCTCAACATTGATGTGGGTTCTATTTTGCCTTCCCTCTCCATTCCTGTCAACACAAGACTCTTTCTTATCTCTTGTGCATGTCTTTTATGGTGTCTCTATCATTCAGGTGTGTTAGAATTTCTTAAATATTACTTTATTGGTGCTGCAACTATGTGTTGTTCGTCATCTCTGTATGCTTTAAAACATTTCAGGCTGTATTCACATACTGTTCATACGCACACCGCAACGTGAATGACTTAGGATTCCATGATTGCCTGATTGCTGATATAGCCAAGCTAGCTGAAAAATCTGTCATTACAAAGCAGATTTTCATTTCAAATCATGTCGATCCGTCTTGTCATGTCAAAGATGTGATTGATAATTTAACCTTACCATATCTCCGAAGGTGTCTGTTGTTACAGAAACTTCTCAAGTGTTCTGAAATTTCTCCTTCCCCTTCATGGGTCGATGACTTTGATAAATCAATAGGTACCTCTGATTGCCAGGAGGATGCTGGTATGCTGGGGAATAGGGATGAGACAAAGGAATTACGCAATATTTTTAGAATTCCTCCACTGGATATTGTTCTTAAAGATGGAGGTCTACGTTCTATGATGTTTAAATGGTTTCATCATTTTTCTAAGGACTTTGAGGATCAATGTGTTCACCGTACTCTGTATTCAACTCCAGCTGTTCCATTTCAGCTGATACGTCTTCCTGCTGTTTACCAGGATCTTGTGCAGAGGTTTTTGTTTGCTTTGTCTGAATTTTCTTTTTACTTTTTATTTTTCAAAATTTATTTATTTTTAAACAACAGTGGGTGATTTCAGAATTGATTTTGGTATGCTAATTCTACTCAAAATAGAAATCTCTAGAAGCTAGTTAGCTAGGTTAAGTTCACGCTTTACTGTCATGACTAGGGTGGGCTATTGTCATTGTTGCTGTTAAATTTAACTGAAACAGATTTTTAAGTGTATTGCTTAAATAAAGCTAAAATTCTCTATGAAATGACGCTGCTTGAATACTTCAGGTATATAAAAGTTCCATGTCCAATCTGTGAGACTGTGCAAAATGAACCTGCTTTGTGCCTTTTGTGTGGTAGATTGTGCTCTCCAGCCTGGAATTCTTGCTGCAGGTTAGTTTCGCTTTCCATTCTTGTTGAATCAATAGAGAATAATGATTTTTTTTTTTTTTACTCAAACTGTAAATTTTAATTGACTTCTGATATTATCATTGTATCTAGTGGAAGTGAATGCCAAGCTCATGCAATGTCATGTGGCGCTGGGACTGGGGTGTTCCTTTTAATTAGGGTAAGGATTCCATGACCTGTTGCAGGCGATTATTTTCATTGTTCTCTCTTTTTCTTGGGACTACATGCCTACCTCCTCCACCTTTTTTGTGTAGATTTTCACTTTGCTTTTTCTTTTTAACCCCTGTGAATAGAAAACAACAATTTTACTTCAGCGAAATGTACGCAAAGCTCTTTGGCCTTCGCCTTACCTTGATGCATATGGTGAAGAGGTAACAGTAAAATATCAGAAGATTTCATTATGCAAGTATTTGTTCTGTCAAAGCCCAGTGAAGTATAGCTGATGGTTTCTTTCGGTGAAATACTTTTACTCACTGTATGTCTACACTCTGATTAAGTCAACATGCTCATGTTTCAGTTAATCCATAAGGCGGACTGATAGACTGGTTGTATTGTTATATGTCGAGAAAATTACAAAGTTGATTTAGGTTTCCATCATCTTCATTTCATTTTCCATTACTCGTATTTTATCCGCAGGATGCTAAAATGCGTAGGGGCAAGCCACTGTATCTAAATGAGGAGCGGTATGCTGCTTTGACGTACATGGTGAGGGCTGAAATTTTAACATCATTTTGTTGCTCCATTGTCATATGGGTTTTTATTTTGACAGCCATTGTCATACATTAATACTGCATTTCTATTTTCAAGTTATTGTACACTAACACTTTTTCATTTAGGTGGCTTCTCATGGCCTTGATCAAAGCTCCGAAGTTCTTCGTCAAACAACTATTGGTCCCTACTCCTTGGTTTAATTCTCAGAAAAAGCTCTGGTTGTGTGGTACACTACTATCCTTGTGTATTGTCTTTTAGTAGATTTACCCTACTTCAAAGTCAGATGCATAGTTGTAACCTTCAAGCGAGCATTGCAGATGAGCTGACATGAAAAGCGAGAACGATGTATAGGAGATGAAGACTTCGTTGATTCCCTGTCCACACCTCAAACCCTGATTACAACAAACTTAGTTTTGACCTGCAGCGCCCTTGTAAAACTCAACCATGTAAGCTTCTTCACAAATTGCTTTTGCATAAAGATAGTAGTGTCTTGCAGTTAGGGATTTGGAGCTGTGACTTGATGCCGAATGCTCGAATGTATATGTAGACCAACTAATGTTTGTGAAAATTTTCATATACTATTTTCCTTGTTCTTACCAATTATGCTATGGTAGATCCTACAATCCAGAACATGATAGTATTAAACAAATAATAGTATCATGCTCCCAAAAGAACAAATAGTTCTAAAGTCAAGATCTAATCTGTATCAATGATGTTTTGTTATGCTTTACATACTCTATGAATCTATTTATAAATTTACACTATTTTCTAAAACGTTTCAGGTAAATACTCGTATTTGATTACAACCATTGAAGAAAGGGAAATTCTTGTAAGATATATGCCTGTACGTAATTGTATACGAAGTATGTTATTGGCAAACTTGTAAATAATTGCAAAGTTTTTGTTTTTGTTAAATTGTGATTTTTGATATACCACAAATTGTGATTTTTATGTACAAATTTGATGTTTGGTATAACATTTGATTTGAAACATAAAACATATGGAGTACAAAGTATTAATCCTTATACGTAGTCATTCAATACTTGTCCTCCTCAAAAGCCCCGTCAATGAATATACTAAAACAACCTTTAATGTTTAGCCAACTAACCAAAATATTGCATTAAGGTTATAACCGGTTGTACCTTATATGGTGCAATCAAGGATATATTAGTACTCCGTGATATTTGTTCATTTACATAAAATCTACGCATTGCACAATTTGCTTATTCGCAATTTGCATGAAATGAATGCAATATTTTTTATTTTTTATTTTTGGCTAATTTATACAAAATGAGCAAATTATATTTTCTTGCTCATTATACAAAATGAACAAATCTACCCAACCTCTTCATTTTATGGAGTACCTCCTTCTCTCCTTTTTATACCACAAACTTCTTTTTGCTCACTTGCAGAAAATGAACAAATAACTACGGAGTATTACTCATCGACGTCAAAAGGTTCCTCGTTCATGGGTTACTCTTGCTCACTGGTTGGCTGGTTGAGCACGACGTCGTCATTTATTGTTTTTTTTTTTATTTGTTTTAGCTTTTTGATGAAAGTTGTTGTTTTTGTTTGTTTTCCTTTTATTTGATACTTCGTAGTTCGTTTGTCACAAAAAAATATATATATAAATATAAATAAAAAATATATATATAAATATAAATAAATATAAATGAATAAACCTATTACTCATCGACATGAAATGAGCAAAATTGTCCAACCTTTTTTTTTCTTTTTTTCACTTCCTTTTCCTATAACCAACATCGTTTTTCATTCATTTAAACAAAAATTAGTAAGTAACTAATTTAGTCCCATGCATTGCACGGATTAAGTAGCTATTATTTGTTTAAATAGTTGTCAATTTTATATTCGAAAAAAATCATAATCTCATTAATTAATTTTGAAACTACATTTATTTAGTTTTGGAATATAAGAGGGAAAAAAACAAAAACAAAAAAAAAAAAAAAAAAGATAATGTCAAAAATAGTTTAGGCGGGAAAATTTTTATTAAGAAATTGACATGTATCTCTTAATGATGTCAGCATGTTTTATTTTAGTAATAGTTAATAGATTAATAGATTTTCCCAACCTCCTCTTCTTCTTTTCATCCTCTCCCTTTCTTAATACAAGTACCTTTTTTTATGCACATTTATACAAAATGACCAAAAAATTCCTATTACTTCACTCATTCATACTATTCAAAATAAGCAAAATTACTTGACCTCCTTTTACTTTGAACAAACTCTGAAATACACCTGATAGTAGAGTTACTATGATCATTTTATTAGTTTGAAAAAAAAAAGTCATTATGTTAAAATAATAGTTACTCATTCATACTATTCAAAATAAGCAAAATTACTTGACCTCCTTTTACTTTGAACAAACTCTGAAATACACCTGATAGTAGAGTTACTATGATCGTTTTATTAGTTTGAAAAAAAAAAAAAAAGTCATCATGTTAAAATAATAGTTATTATGTAAAAATAAAAGTGATTGTGTTTTTATAAAGGTCATAAGAGATTAATTTTTTAATGAAAATTTTAAAATACAACTCAATATGAATAATATAGGTCACTAGATTAAAATTAGAGTTATAACGTCATACTTCATCTTTGCAATAATGTTAAAGTCACACAAATTTTATTAAAGGTTATTGTGTTAAAATTAAGGTTACTATATTTAATATTAGGATCACTATATTCAATACAAAGTCAGTTGCGCACGTGTAGAACCTCGGGTCCACAATAATATTATTGTGAATCGGGTCAAAACACAAGTTTTTTTATTTACTCTATTGTCTGCAGCTTTCTAATCCATAAATATTAAGTAATGTTGTTGCTACCAATTCATACACCATTTCAAAAAATATCAAAGTTAAGCGAGTAGAAAATTGCAATGATTAAGTTATACCTAGATTGATTCTGAAAATGATGAAGAAAAGCAGAGAGAAAATAAGTGAGATGATGAAGCAGAAGAGAAGAGAGATTCGAATTTGTTTCGTAATTGAATTTGATTAAGTAAATAATTGTATCTTTGCAATTAATTGTGCCATTGTTGTACAATTTGAAGTTTTAGGAAAATCTCAGATTAACTATTGTTGACATTTATATCTTTTGTTAGGAACTTGTTAATTAGGTTAATCGTAGACTTGTAATGAATTGTCGGTAAAGTTATATATATTTACAGGTGGTATGGTGGATGAATTGCAATACCTATAATGTATAGGGCACTCTGATGAAGAAATTATGTATTTTTAAAAGTTTCTTATTGTTACATTTGCTAGCCTTTTATTAGCTTCTCATGTAACAATGTGTTTGAATTTTATTTTTTACTAGTATCAACTTTGATTATGAATTTATGAATTAGACTAACATGCAAACCATTTTTTTTTTTTTGGCGGGAATAGTAAAAGAAAATTTAATTATGAAATATGTTGTTAAATAATACGAAGTATAAAGTTTTATAATACTCGTATTAACTTTTTAATGCTTATTTTTTTGTAAATATTATGTCAAACTAGTGTATTGACATTGTATGCTAAATTTGAATCACAAATGACCCACAAATTTTATAATGAGTCACCTAACCTACCGTTTAATTATTAAATGATGGATATTCAAGGGGGGTATTCTAAGTTACAAATTAATTATGGCAAATATCCACATCACCAACATTTATTGAGTCGCAATTTTTGTAGTCACCCCATCCTAAGGTTCGACTCTCGTTTTGTACGGAGTTGAATTAATACATGTGTTATGCATATCAACTCCCCTAAAAAGGGTACTCCATAGTAGTTAAAATTAAGTCTTTGTTTGACTAATATAATTTTGTTTGAAATTATTTTGCATGAAATTATTTTATTTTGTTATTGTACTCTGTTTTATTTTATTTGAAATAATTTTCTTCTATTTGAACTTATTTTGTTCTAATTTATTTTAGTAAGTTTTGTGTATAGCCACATTTGCTTATAAGATTAACCCTATTCATTAATATGAGTAAAGGCTTGTTCATATTTACTTATTTTCAGTTCAGTTCAGTTCAGCTCCAATCAGTTCAGTTCAGTTCAGTTTAGTTCAGTTCAGCTCCAATCAGTTCAGTTCAGTTTAGCTCTTAATTTCCCTCTCTCATAAAATATTCATTTCAGCTTAGTTCAGTTTAGTTCAGTTCAGTTCAGCTCCAATCAGTTCTGTTCAGTTTAGCTTCAATCAGTTCAGTTCAGTTCAGCTCAGTAAAATGAACATGCCCTAACTTTAATTATCCATAAGGTTAATTGGTGTAGGAGCATCCGTGAAATATATAGATTATATTGGTATGACCTGATTGGTGATATTTTTGGGCTCCCAACAACTATTTGGATGCTGCTTTAGTCTTGAGTTTACATTTGATGATGGAAGATGGAAACATTGAATATAGTTGGTATTTAGATAAGTAAAACAATTATATAAGATGAGTGTAAACAACTTTTTAGATGCTCCTTTTGTCTTGAGTTTACATTTGATGATGGAAGATGGAATAATAGAAATAAGGGTGAGAAAGAAAGAATTGTACTTAATCAGAAATGCATTTCTCAATTTAATAATTTTAACAGCAATATCTTCTTCACTACATGGAATTAAGGCAATCATTCAAACTACAGATGAAAGTAGAGTTCTAGAGTTATGCAATGATAGGTCATATCCAATTTGATCAGCAAGAATTGAAAAGGTTATAGACAATTGAATTTAAACTTTATAGCAAGCCACCTCAGGATTCGTGCTTTACTATTTAAAGTGTCAACTCTAGACTACAGGAAGATTTTCAATTTTGGGTAAAAGGGGTAGAGCGATCGCTCGATCCCTTTAAGATAGCACTCCATAATTCCATATGTTCAAAAAGTTCTTCGGGCCCTAGCTATTCTACATGGAGAAAGTTTTGCGTTAGACTACACTCACCGTATGTGAGTCCAATATATCTGACATTAATAATCTAATATCTAATATTATTAATCTAATATCTAACATGAGAAATTAATATATGACATTAATAATATAATATCAGACTTTAATAATCTAATATTTGACCTTGATAATCTAATATCTGACATTGATATTTTTTTTTCCGTTTTTATGCATTTACCTCCCAAAAAAGTTGATAGCATCTTGAACCCATCTTTACTTACTTATGCCAAAAACCATGCTGTTGATTTCAACCCATTTGATGTCAATCAACCTTTGATTCATCAAGGTCCATTTGATTGCATTCTTCGTCACAAAATCTACGACGACGATTGGAGTCATCAGTCACTCGATTTCGCTTCCAAGAACCCTAGAATTCCAATCATCGATTCTCCCACTGCGATCAGTGTCTTCATGATAGGATTTTGATGCTTAAAGTCATCAATAATCTTGTGATTCCGTCAACTACGGTAGAGATGGCGCCGAGTGTGGGATTTCGACGCAGGTTTTGTTGACGGATGAAGATGAGATTGATAATCTGGGTTATATATAAAAAAGGATGCTTTTAAACTGCAAATCGACCCAAAGGTCAAGGATGAAGAAGCAGCAGCACTTAGATGAGCATTTAGGTTCTCAAGTCTGGACTCACGGTGACTTCGAACTCACCGTGAGTCCGTTCTACACAATTTTTTTTTTTTCCTTTTCTCTATCTCTTTTTTTCCCTTCTTTTTGTATGTTACTTTGTTTCTTGTATTTTAACTTGACCCTTCTTCTGTATTTTATGGGCTACTGTAGGGTTTTTGCAAGGCACCTGTATATTAGTGCTTAGAATTTTTGAAATTTTCCCTCTATACTATACAATTTTTTGTGATTGCTCTCTTAATCTTTAGTCTACTTTGTGTTTAGCGGCCTAGATTATAACTCTTGTTATATTAAACTTGGTGATTGTTACTATCACCATTGAATTTTATCTGACAAATAATACTTTAAAGTTGCACATAATTAACAATTAATGGTTGTAGTTAAGAATTTATCTTTATTGATTTTTTCCTCAAACTACACCCAACAAACCTCAAGTCACAATGTTGAACATTCAAACAAGCTT